TGAGAGGAAAGAAAAAAAGTGACGAAGACAAAGGGATCGCTGGCGGGGGGGGGGGGGGGAGCGCGGTCGCGGCGCTATAAACAGATATAATAATAAATTGATAAAGAAGACGATGATAAATATACAATTATCTTGAAATAAAAATTCATTCTGAATAAAAGTTAAGAATATTGTACCTCATTAGTAGAAAAAGTGTAAAAAACTAAAAATCTCGATTATTCGTTCATTAAAAGGATATACCTTATTCTTAAACCATCATTTGAAGAGATCATCGAATGAAACTTGAGAATAACTTAATAAAAAAAAATTGCAGTAAGTTGAAACGTTAATATAACAACTGGGAATATATTTCTCTCTGTAAAATTACAAGTGTGCATATAGACATATGTCACTTGATTGCTTTACATAGATGCTCATACAGTATTTAACATACACATTTACAAGTGCTCTTCATGTATATTACTAGGTCTCTCTTGTGATACAATATAAATGTTGAAGGAAAAATTAGAATGATTTAAAAGTCATAAAAACATCCAATCAAATACTTGACAAGTTTACATGTGTACGTAGAAGTCGGTAACAGACGAAGCATTTTTAATGTTTTGTCTTATGTTTTCGTATTTGATGGACAAAAATCAAATATACTAGATGTAAAAAAAGATTACGCTTTTTTTCAATTACAAACATTCGATTTTCAAGGAAAAACTTTTAAATATGGTGCATGTCGTGAAGAGTACGATCCTCTTCGATTTAAGAATTGTCGATTCATTATTAAAATCATGTAAAAACTAATTGTTTTTAATTATTTCTAGGTTTCTCTTCATCATGATCGCAAAATTCGACTGATCTCTTATTGCGTGAATTTTGAACGTCTCTTGCAAAACGATGTAAAATAGTCAATTTTTTATCGATTAGACTTAAGAAACAATGAAAATTAAAAAGCCAACTAATCTTTGCACAAGTCAAACAAATCGTAATGATTATGTCTACTGCATATAATTCGTCTCTTTTGAACTTACCAGTCGAGATTCTTCATCATATCATTGACTGTCTTGATACACGAACTACTATTTTTTTGACACTTCCTAATGTATGTAGATTCTTGCGAGCAATATCCAATACCTATACAATCGATATCAAATTGACTTTAGTTCAATTTCAAAATCTGATTTCCATTATATTTGTCCACTTATTCAACCTGAAAATGTATTCTCATTGTCACTTTCAGACCATAATAAGACACCAGGTCAAATAAAATTGTTTCTTTCAATGTTTAATATTAATCAATTTACTTAATTATCGTTGTTAACTCTTCTTGGAATTAATGATGATGATCTAAGCAAAATTTTACATTCAGATATTACATCGACGCTTAAATCATTGTTGATCAATTGGCGAGAAGAACATTGTCCCACTAGCAAAACCTTAACTATTCTCTCGTCAATACTAAATCGACTTACTCTTCGTAAACTCGAATTAAAGACTGGATCATATGCACTTGAAGAAATATCGTGGCTAGTACAATACACATTAGAACATCTTACATTGATGTATATAACACAAAAACAATATTGTACCATTCTTCAAAAGATACCTAATCTAAAGACATTGGTACTAAATCATTGTTCAATGCATGAAATCGATGAGAGTATTGCGACATTGTCTGTTCCTATCTTCTATAAACAATTAACACCATTAATATTGATTGATAGTCGAATATCGATGATTGAACTTAAATCAATCCTATCTCTAACATCCCCATTAATTTATTTGAAAATTATATGTTCGCCAGATCCGTTCGATACTATTGCTGATGGATCTCGCTGGGAACAATTCATTCGCACAAGTTTACCTTGCTTACATGAATTCGAGTTTTTCTTTACGAATGTTTACAACGTATATTACAGATCTAGAGATGTCGAATCAGTCATATCTCGATTTCAAACGCCATTTTGGCTGGAAGAAAAACATTTGTTTGTGACCTGTGATTACATAGATTATCTCAATTTAATTTATGCTCTACACAACACCACTGTGTGCTACGAACTTTACATACGAATGTGAAGCAAATAAAATTTCATATTCTACTTTGATTACAATGGATGTCGATGCTGTCATCACAGACAACGTACGTACGATAAACTTGACTCTAACAAAACTAATGACTGGTGTCGCTACAGCGAAGGTATGTTTAAATTGCTACAACCATCTTCTATAGATCATAATCATGTAAATAAATCAATGTCTAACAAATATATACATATAAAAAGACGCCTATAATGATGTCGAAAATTTGTTCATATCAGGAGAGATTGATTTTCCTCAAAGAATTATTTCGAAACAAATAACAAATTTCTTCTCTTTACATAAGACCTATTTTCTAATTGTAGAAAATAATACCAAATCATTATTTGTTTCGTAATGTAACCAAATTAACAATAGATATGGATCAGGAATGGTCAACAGAATGTGTTCAATATCTTTCAACAATTCTCGATCTTTCACATCTCGATAAAATCATTTTTAATCCTGATTTTAACCATGAATATATTCATAATACCATAGAAAGCATCAATATGCTGATGGAACTTGCATATAACCTTAATACATTGACAATCAATCCTTATTCCTCCTATGATGGGATTATAATCATGGAAAATATTTGTGAGATTATTCTACGTCATATAAAACATTTAGAAGCGACCGTGAAAGATATGGATAGCATAAAAATGATTCTCGATCATCATGGACATTTATGGTGTCTCACACTTCTAGCTTCTTCTGGTCGATCAATGCCCTGGTCAGAATTTATTGAAGAATTGATCAACAGAAAAAAGATTTCGTATATTGGGAATCTTATTATTCTCTACGTATTTGGTTTGATCAAACGAGATAACAGTTGAAAGAAAATGTAAGCCATTCTCTGACGGATGAAAATGTTTTGTTACTCACATAATATATGGTCAAGTCAATAGAATGTCAATCAATGTATCGATAGCGTTTCATACTGATACGAACAATGCAACACTTGTCAAATTATCCCATAGACGACTAGCAAAGATCTTGATAAAAACATTCTTTAAATGAAACATTTGTTTTCTTTTCTAATCATAAACTAGATTATCAGTTATGTAGATTTTTAACAATAAAGTTTAATAATAAATTCCAAGATTTTGAAATTTTAATTCAATAGCAAAACAACATAGAAATACATACACTTTTCATATATATGAATTACTCTTTACTACATGAAGAAATCTTTGGTGGAATCGATCCGTATATTTTAGAGTTAATTTCCCAAAGGAATTTATTGAGATTTTTATGATCTCATGCAAATTAATTATATCAATGCGATATAAATACAAACAGTTTTTCATTTTATTTTTTACCTATGCTAACATAATACATCATTCACATGTTTGATTCTTTGTTTGTTCTTTCATTCGTCACATCATCAATTTAGACTACAAAATCCTCTATTTTTAAAGCGAATGTGTTTTTTTTGGATAAGCAACAATAACAAGAATTGCATCCGAGAAAAGTTGATGATGAATTGTTACTAACGAATGTTGTTGGTGCTGTTCGTTTTTCTGATGGAATTTTACGATTTGATAATGATGATGATGTTAGTGGTGATGATTCTCGATTATTAGTATTCGATGTTTCATTTTTACCCTTATTTCGATTACGATTATTCACTTGTTTACTGCCTTGTGTAACCCATTGACCTTCATCTTCTTAATCAACACCAGCTTCATCATCAACTAATGTCTGTTTGACTTCAGAATTAGCACTTGCTGCTTGTTTTTTATCTCAAGCAGTTGTATTGACCTTGTTAGGACCATTATCTAATGACAATCTTACACTCTATAAGTCTTTTGATACATGAGCAAGACCAAGTATTAATTTACTATCACCTCAAATACACAAACAGAACTAACAGTAAGAAATCACATAATCATTAATTCCACCAAATATTATCATACATGTAGTGCTTTAAGATTTCTTTCTAGTTTCCGACTGGAGGTAAGAAGGAGCACAGTGAGACAAATCAAGACTAAGCATGAAGGATGAAGGCAGGACCGAAGAGAACAAATTTCAAAGAGCACAATTCTCATAGGTATCACCATTCAGCTATCAAGAGGAGACACATACAGTGACAGTTCTGGTACGTAAAATTCCAATAATTGAAAAGCTAGAAACTTCAATAATCAACAAGTTGGTTCAAGAATTCGAAACTGCAAAAAATTTTCGACTTGAATCGAGTTTTTCATTTTTACATTACTGCTCCTTCATTCGTTTCTCTTCATTGTCATGCATTGAAACTTTCTAAATCAATCCGATTTCCTTCATGTTTTATTATAAAAATCATTTACGATAATCAAAATCTTTTTGCCTGAGGAAAATAGTCCGTCAGTTCTTCAGTAACTCCATATTCACCACGTAGCCATAACGAAAAGACTTTTGCACAATTGATTCGTGTTGCATCTCTTGAGAAATTTTCTGTAACCCTTTTTAGTTCTTCATAATAGAGAGTAAGATGAACTTTATCCGGAAAATAGACTTCTGTATCAAGCAGGAATTGTTCAATGTAATCATAATGAGCTTCATAAAGATTTAGTTTAGTCAAATGCAGATATTTAATAATTGATAAATCTTGATTGTCGTTCTTTGATTTTTTATATAATTTATTCTTCTGTGGTTTATTATTAGTTACAGTTAATTCTTTCATAAATGGAAATGATCGAGCAATTTGACGAAAAAAATCATATTCAAATGGATGTTCATCAAATAACGATACTTTATAAACATAGTTAAATAATCCACCTGGAAAATTATTTGTAATAATATCATAATATTTCATTCTATATGGACATGTGTAAATATGACAATAATTATAGTGGTTTTCTTGGAAGAGATTAACACAAGAAACAATTTGATCATCTTTAAAATCATTGAATGTACATTGAATATCTTCATTTGAAGGAAAATTCATTTGATTAGGGAAATTATTGATTACGCGAATATTAAATGTAAATTTATTTAATCGTGGCATATAATTGATAATATCTTTTTTTAAATCATTTCCGTCGATAAATCCTTTATAATGATGGAGTCTAACATTTAAATCAAGTTTTTCTAAATTTAACATTCGATGCAGAAGTGGTAGAATTGATTCATCATAAAAATGCACACGCATATCAGAAGATAGTGAAAAACATCTTAGATTAGGTAATTTTTCCTAGAAAGGAGAATATAATTCAATTTATCTTGATAAATTTTGTATTTAGCAGAAAAAACGTACCTCACTATCGATATTTGAACTCCTGCTATGAATGTGATGAACTTTAACATGAAATGTACGAAGTTGATTGAAACGTCCATCAAGTAAATAAAGTACATCAATGAAAGAAAACACAGTAATATGTAATTCTAATAGATTTGAGGAAATCACATTGGGAGATGGCGTGTTAAATGAAAATCGTTGATGATACATCAAAGATGGTCCAAAATTTAAATGTTGTAAATTGGTGAGCATAGTAAAGATATGTTTAAATATAGTTTTATTGTCATTAATTTCTGATATCTTTTTACCTTTACTAATATCGATAAAGAGTGATGATATTTGATTTTTGAGTACAGGAGTAAAAGCAGTGTTTTCTAAAAATAAAAAAATGTCTTGAGATATACATACTAATTATTTTCCATAGTAATTAAATCATATTATTGATTTGTTCAATTTATGTAGAACTATAATAATGCAACATACAAAGTCATACTTAGATTCATCAATGATTTACTTAACTATAGTGTAAATCTGATAAAACAATACTGAGATTTTATTTACTTCTCACGGATTCAGAATTAACATAACTAAAGTGAAATAACCTACCAGTAAGAGATATAGCTTGTTCTACACTAACACCATATAAGCCAAGTCCATATAAATATGGATAATTTGTAGCACGAAGAATACGTTCCATAGATGTTGCTTCAAGATTAAGCCATTCGATTTTATGATGAATTTGTGGTAAAATTTATGAACAAAATCGATCAAGGATTGAATATGGTAATGGCTTGATGAATTCATCCAAAAAATATAATGTTAAACGATGTGTAAAAATCGAATCATGTGCAATTGTAGTGAGTCGTTTATTAACTCCTGTTAAAGAATTGAGTACTTCGACATCATCCAATTTTCTCAAAATAAATATAAGAATCTCATCCGGTAAATCATATAAGTTCAATGATAAATCTTCCATATTTATCTGCACGTCTGTTTTTTTAACGCCCATACACGTGAGTATTTATATATGGTCATTTCATTTCTTTTTTAACTGATGTCGTCGATGATCGTCAATGAGAATAATGATATATTTTTTTTCAGTCCGAATCAACAATGACTCCCTAATGGAATGAATGAAAGAAAAATTAGGTTATTTCTCTCTTTGTCATTGTTGTTCAAAATATTGCCTATCATGAACATTCATAACTATTGGTTGCAATTTTTGTCTTCTTAGCAGAATTATGTTTTATGAAAATAGCAAAGAATTTTGCTTTAATATTTCGTGTTAACAAACTATAGATTTATGTAAAGATATTACGTAGTTTTCATATTGCGTTTTTTTGTTAGAATACATTGAAGAAGATCATTTACCTTTGCCTGCACCGTCGACTAATGAGAATACGAGGGGTGAATGCAACTATCTGTTGAGATAGCTATCATTACTTGTGACAAGTATCTTGGCCTTCTTTTTCCAGATTCTTTATATTCTAGATACAGATTGACTAATATAGTAATGTTCTGAGGAAGAGAGTATTTTTTAATTTGAATGACTGTCTATAGGAGTCATCTTGTATCTGTCTACTTTGTCTCGTCTTGTTTTAGGCATTTTATTGTACGTGTCACTAAGTTAAAGGAAAAAAAACTTTTTTTGGAATAGTATTGCTTGATTCTTGAAAAATCAGTGGAAGTTATGGAAGGATATGGAGCATATATTCAAAATTTCCATCTCATAAGTCGATGCAGTTTACTGCATTCTACAGGTCATAACAATGAGAGAGAGAAAAATAAAGAGTTGGTACCTTTGTAACAATCAGAGCAAAGTTCATACACGTATTTCATTCAATTTAATCTACCATCTGCGGAACTCTGTTATTTGAGTTAGTAAACATTTTAGTAGAAATTATGATCCTTGAGGATGAAAATTATTTTTCACTCATATTTGACAATTCGTCTTCGTTTGAATTCGATTGATGTTCGTTTTATCTAAAAATTTCTTATTCAGTTTTTGTGTTTGATTCTCTTTTAGAAATGCATCTGGAATATTAAACGATTTTGACAATCAGATCAAAAATTTCTTGCAATAGTACAACATATCTAAGAAATCAAGAATGTAAATGATTGAATGAAAAATAAAAGATAAAGAAATTCGAATAGTGAAGAACGAAAGAGAGAATTTAATAGTGTATATAGATAGATGGACACGAATGTACATCATCTATCCAGAATGAAAAAGATAGAGATGATGTCATGATTCGATAATAGAGGTTTAGTTATTTACTATATCACGTAAGTAATAGATGTCTCCGTTAAATTGAACTAGTATTTCTTTTGTTTTAGTTTATCCAGTGTTAGTTTCAATAGATCATATCGTTTGTTATTTTGCTTCATTCAGTAATTGAATGCACTGGTATTTTTCTACAACAGAGGATAGCTTAGTTTATTTTTGATATTTTCTAACAAAGAAAATTTCATTTATTGGATCTCATTATTTACTAATGTATCGTCAAGACGGTGACATCGTTACCACACGAAAAAACAGAACTCAGCAATTTCGACAAATCATCTTCAGATTCGGATTTCTCGTCCTAAAAATGTCCAGTCAAGTCTTACAATATGTCGTTGTTTCCCAGTAATACTCTTTTCTTGAGGGAGAAATTTATTCGGAGTAGTATATACCCTTTTTTTTCCCGGATCACTTTGCTAAAAAAGGTTTCTTAGCTGTTGCAATTTTATTAATTGATTAATATGTGATATAATTTGCAGATTCAATAATGGAAAATTACCCATTGTTGGAGACGATGTTGTCTTTTTACAAGTTGATTCAAGCAAGTGATGAAGATTTATTAATGCTAACATTCCATTATTGCTTGCTCACAAATGGGTTTAAAGTTTCTTCTCCAAATCAAGTAAGAGTTTTAAAAGAAATATATTTATATTTTTTTGTCTTACGTTAGCCAAGTGAAATTCTCAATTTAAGCGATGTTGAGAACTCGGTTCCCATACATTATATCTTTGATGGTTTTATTGTTAAATGTGATCATAATACTGTTGTCACTGAAAAGCCTCCTGATATTGAGTTTGGAACTAATCAAGGTCGTGAAATTGAAGATGGCGTTTATTCGGTTGAAATCCAAGTAAAGTAAAAAAAAAAAGATAAACAACAATTTATTGAAAATTTAGATAAACGGCGATGCTTGGCCGTTTCTTGAAGAATTCGTTATCGATGATTATTTGAATAAGCATACGTAAGTTTCAATTAATTTCCAACTCAAATATATATCTTTTTTTAGTGCTGGTACAACAAATTCGGTGCAAAATATTATTAAGGATATTCCTGGTTTTATGGAAAAATCGATGAACGTGATTTCGTCACTCAAAGAATATATTAGAGAAAATAAACAAAGACTTATTGATCAACAAGCTGATCATCAACAAACTGATCATCGACCACGCGACTGGCCTGTTGATGCATAAAACATCAATTTTGATATGAACGAACACAAAAATTTTTTATGATTGATGTCAGAGACTTTTGTCTTTTCATTTTATTTCATTTCTTTTTATTTCTAACTTGCAGTGCATTAAGAGAGAGAAATAAATTCTATTTCTGTCTTTTTTTGTTTATCAAGTCATCAATAAAACAAAAAAAAGCGATAAATAAAATTACTGCTGAAAAATATGTTCTAGCTAAGAACAATGTAAAAATTTTATATAATGAAAATTGCACGCCGTCAATCGCCCCAATAGCACACATAAAAATTTTCCTTAAACCCAACAACTGTTTTCCTCAAACATCTAGACAAGAGCAAACAAAAAAAAACAAAGTAAAAAAGAGAATCACACATACAGTTACAAGCGTGCAAAAATCATCCTCAATCTTTCAACTCATACAACCAAAAGAAAAACAGTTACAGAACTAATAGTTTCAAAAACAAAGAAATACATATGCAAAAAACAAACAAACAAACAGATAAATAATCAGAGATAGAATAAACAAGTAGCAAGACTTTCTTCGATTTCTTTTTATTTAAGAAACTCGACGTACATTGCTTGATTTCTTTTTTGACAGAGATGTTGCTGTTGTTTTTGAAATCACCTATGATGAATATTAAACATATATTATTAAAAAATGTCGTTTTACAAGAATTTATTACCTGTAACAGTCGATGATGAATTTGTCTGTTCATCAAAATTTAATTTCTAGAAAAAAGAATATAAACGAAGAAAGATTATTTTTTTGCTTGATAAAATGTTGCTACTTGATCATCTTGTGCATTTTTATAATTATTCATCTGATTATTTCCATGAACATTAATATCTTTTTCACTTAATGCAGTTTTATTATTATTTGTACTTTTTGCCGGTATAATAAGTTTAACATTAACAACATATTGTTCGTTTTGTTCACGTTCAGATCATTCACCAATATCATCAATAGAAAATGTTTGTTGTTTATTTAATGCTTGTTTACACCAATCATCACTATCTGTATAACGATTTTTACTCATTGGTAATAACTGACAAATATCAATAGATTATTGAGCTTGTGGTGATGATGATGGAACAGAAGTAGTTGATGTTATTGTTGGTTCAACATCAGATTCATTTTTATTTGTTGATGATGAACTATTGCCAGTGGATGATGTTATTTATTCTGTTCGTTTTTCTGATGCTGTCTTACGATTTGATGGTGGTACTGATGATGATTCTTGTTTAGTAGTATTTTATGTTTCGTTTTTTGCCTTTATTTCGATTACGATTGCTAACCTGTTTACTGCCTTGTGTGAACCGTTGATCGTCATCTTCTTGTTCATTAGCAGCTTCATCATCAACTGGTGCACGTTTTGCTTCAGAGTTAGTGACTACTTGTTGTTTCTTATATGAAGCAGTTGTATTGACCTTGTTGGTCGCATCATCTAAGGATAGAAGATCGGATATTATAATCGAATGAAATTCCTGAAATACCTCTTCCTTTTGTTTTTTAGTTGGAGGTGTTACGACAGTTTTTCTGTTTCTTTTGGAGATCAACACTTTGCATTCCATCAAGGTTTTTATTACGCCCAGGTGTTGCTTGTTGTTGTTTTGCTGATGAATTTTGGTCGCTCATTTTTCTTTTTTTTCTTGGCAATCTTATGGTCATATCAATATCATCTATTGGGTAATTTTTCATAAAAAAAAAAACTTTTCTTTTTCTAAAATATTTATTTTAGTTAATGATGATTATCTTTCTTCATTTGGCATCAAAAGTTATAATGATATTCATGCAATTCATGATGAAACAACAACGAATAAATATCGACGCAAACGTTGAATTAACGAAAATAGTCCTGATCGTATTCTTATACTTGAATTAGATCATAAGTGAGCAGATCAATTGACAAAAATACATTTCTATCATGTTTCATCTTTAAAAATATTACTTTAGTTTTGAAAAACACCAATAATTTTTTGCTACGGATGCTGATATTCGTCTCTATTCAAATACTTATCTTCCTATAAATTCCTGTATTCTATATGATGGCTATGTGTTAGGTAAATGTTTTTATTAGAAAGATTTATCATATAAGATAAATTTGATTAGATCATCCTGATACATCTTATGTTAGTGATAGATGCTATTCAAATTGGTTTGATGGGATGATTAAAACGTCAAATGAAACGTGGTATATTGAACCAACTCGTAAATATAGTCAAACATTAGCTAATGCTGATCTATCGATTATTTATAATGTAATAAAAGAAGTTTTTAAAATTTCTATCGCTGCTGCGACGGTCAAAAAAGATAAGTTGCCGCTGCCGCCACGATACTTTAGAAAACATGCCGCGCCCCGATGCTTTTCCAAAAAAACTTGCCGTTGCCACGCCGCGATGGACATCTCTGCTAGGGTGAGATAATAAAAAAGAGTCTGATGCACATTGTACAATTTTATTCATGAAAGTAGCAAAGTATTTGATAAATTTGTTCTGTTCTCTCAAAAGCCTGCAGGCCAGGCCAGGCTGAAAAAAACTGGCCTGTTGGCAGCTCTGTCTTGAATAAACCGAAGAAAAGATTTGATTAAATGAAATAATTTCCTATAAAGAGAAGTACTTGTCGAATTTCCTTTAATAGCTTTTTCATGAAAAGTCTCTGAAAAACCGAAATACTCAAAAGAAGTTCCCTAGTTTCTATCAAAAACTTACTCGTTCTACGAAAGAACCAAAAGTAGAATCCGTTGGATTCGACTCTAAAATTTTTCTGTTAACCGTATTAGAGTTCAAAAATGTTGGATCCAATAGACTCTACCCGAAAATATAAAATGAACTTGTTTTCAAAACAGTTTTACGGATCTTGCTTTTTCAAAGACATTTCATTCAAACCTATTATTGGGAATTTGACAGTAACTCTCTTGATATGGATATTGTTTCAGTTAATCAAATATTTTCTTCGATTTGTTCTAAATGTTAACATCGAGTGAGAAACAAGACCAATAATAATTCATTTCTCTCCTTTCTTTACATAATGAAACTTCAAATATAAGCTGCTTTTTGCCAATAATAATAATTGAATAGAAAAAACATTGATTATTTCAGTTCACTTGGTAATGATAAACACTTTGTAAAAGTTTCTTTTTTCAATTGATTTGACATTCTTTAAATATTCACAAATCTTTACATATGAAATAAAGAACAACATATTTTCTACGAGAAGCATTTTTATTTCTTCTCAAATTTTTAATTACTATCAAGATTTTTGTCTAACAATATGGTTTTATATGTCATTAGCCATCGAAATTCCGTTCTTCAATTTAATTTCTTTGATTGAACTACTTTCAATGTCACCCCAATGAGCCTTGTGAAAGTTAAGTTACTAACAAAACTGCTTGCCATTTTGCTAGATATCTATTTTTTTTTGTATGACGCTTGATTATGTCTCTGGCTTACACAGGTAGTATTATCCTCCTATCAAATCATTATTATCTTTTTTTTTTTGTTATATCAAGGAAAAAATTGTACGAATGCCTATTCTTTCGTGTGTACATTATCTCCAATAATTACAACCGAACGATAAAAGCATTTTATAAAAAGCAAAAAGAAACAGTCTATTGGATTTTCTTCACATTCGTCAATGCGTACTTTATTATATCATATTTATTTGGATAGGTCAAGGTGCTTTGTTACAATCATTCTTTTATTGTTGTAAAAGAGTATATAATAATAGAGAAGCACTGGTCAAATTAACATTTTCCCACGAAGTTCGTTTCGTCTAATTTTTTTTTAGATAAATATGACAAATTTTACATGTGAAGAAACTTGGTTGTGTAAAAATGTTCAATCAGCTATTTGTTTACATTGTAATCGTCGATTATGTCTTCAACATATAACTGAGCACAATAAAATCAAACCTAATAGTGTTCAAAATCTTTCAAATGAACTTGAAGCCACTTTTAAACAAATTAATGATAAATATGAAAAAAGTCGACAAACATATAATAATTTATTAGCATCATTAAATCAATGGCGTACACAACAAATAGAAAGAATTGAAAAAACTTATAAAAATAGTTTACAAGGCATTGAATCTCAACAAGAAGCTTTGAATATACTACACCGAGAATTAACTGAAGTACTTGATCGTGATGGACGACAACAATTATTACAGATACAATGTCAGGATGATGTCATTATGAAAAGACTTCATCATATTCATCGAACAATTAAAAATGTACAAAAATATTGTACACAACTACAATGGAACGCCTCATTATTGCAATCACCAATTAACTCAGAACAATCTTCTGAAGATTCTTCGTCAATGCAAATTCCATTGAAAATATCAAAATCGAGTAGAGCTTATCTATGAGTCACATAAATTTTTGAAGTTAAATTATGTTTTATTTTTAAGATATTCACGAATTACCTCGGAAAAGAAAGCTTTCAACTAATTCATCATCAAGTAATGTTATAAATCTACGAAAATATCGCTCGTTTAGACGACTTGTTGACATATTTGCTGATATATCGTCTATAGAACAGAGTAAAAATAATATTGCTAACTATCTTAAAGTGAGTCAATAGAATACCAATCGTATCTGAAAATTATAGTTTCTTTTTATTAGCAACAAGGTCCTCATTTTCAGTTTCCTATTCTTGTTTGTTCGTACCTTGCAGCTTGGCATAGGACATCAGGAATGAATGAAAAACTTATTCTTCTAAATGAACATATATCAACTATTCAAAATTATATTCAAAATCGTAACTCTGGTTATTTTATATTATTAGGTATACTTGCATTCTTTTTTAATGAATCCATTCAAGAAAATAAGAGTAAATATAAGTTTCGTTTTGTTTATTGAAAATGTCTGAATAATCTTCTTAGGAGAAATGATGACATTTTTATTACAATATTTTGTCAATCATCAATGTATTAGTCGAAATGAAATACTTGATTGGTATGATAAAATAGATTTACATGGTTATCAAGGTTTTGACGATGCTAAGCTATTAACTGCACCATTTATTAAATCACTTTTGACAATCGATATAGGTAAAATTACTATAGAAAATGTTTATTATTACATTAATATTGTTTTAGTTTCGAATGTACACATGGTGTCAACCAATCAAAATTCGGTTCTACTATCTGACACTATTGAGTTAAAACAGGAACCAGCTGTATTTACTTGAAAAAGACTAAATTTAATTTTACTTATTTTATTTAAAGTATGATTAAAAAAAGCTAACAATATAATCAGTAATAAGTAAAATTTTTCGTCTGTAATATTGATAAATTATGCTTGTATATAAAAAATTACATAGGTTATGTTAAGTTTGGATTCGATCTTTTTTTTTCGAGTAGATTCATCTAGGAATATGTGAGTGTAGATCTCCTTATCATTCATATCCGCACGTATAACTCTTTAGCAACTATGACAATCAGTGTTCGACATAGATCAACTCACTATGCATCATTGTTCGATGTTATATTCTCTTATCGAACTTTTAGATGAAAAAAATATTCTAAGTGCCTTTTGTATTTGTAAAATGTTCAGACTACAGATTCACTTCAAAATTCAAAAGCTTTCTCGTAAACTGACTCGATCCGAATCTGACACTAATGACCACATAGTAGTGTAATAAAAATTTCTCAACAACAGAAGATGCTATCAAAATAAGGCTTTCACCATCTGATAGAGCTGATGGAATTTTAGTTGGAATACATGAATACAATATTGGAAGATGTTTCTAGATGAATCTTCCTTAAAAAAAGAGGCGACTCCTGACCTGACACAACCTACATTGAAGAAATCAATCAAAAATGATTAACTATCAATTTTATCGCATATCTTAACAAAAAAATCATGCAAATTATACCTAACAAGTTTCTATTCACAAAAAATATATCAATAAAGATTAATAAGTTTGTCATAAAAGAAAAATCATGCATTAACTAATTGAAAAGAAGAATTTTCTGATAAGTGTATATATGGTTGGCCGTCATAATGTCGAAAGGAAAAATGTCGAAAGGAGAAATGTCGAAAGAAGGAAGAGGAAAAATATCGAAAGGAAAAATGTCGAAAAGAGAAATGTCGAAAGAAGGAAGAGGAAAAATATCGAAAGGAAAAATGTCGAAAAAATAATATTGACATGAAACATTATCGGTTAATATTTTAGAGAATTGTAAATAATATAGTGCATGTTTTTTTCCATAAAATTAAGTTGAAATCTCAACAGTGAGAAAAATATAAAAATAAATAAAAAATTAAAATGTTATTTTTTCACGAACTTCACGAACCTCAAGTTTTTCTTTTTCTCGANTAAGCTTGAAAACTTCCTATTAGTGAAAACTATCTCTTCCAGTGATCTCGGTCATTTTTAGCACATATACTAATTTGGCAATGTAAGCCAATGATGCCAACTCGATGATGGTCGTTTGAGACAGCCCTTATAACTACGAATCTTATAGCTCAAGAAGAAAAGAAAATTATGATTTGACAGACCTATCGTTATGTAAAGTATAATTACTTTTCGTTAGTGCAAAGTTTGTTTCAAGCTTACTATATGATACTACAATGTTATTGCGACTAATTTTGGAATATTCTTTGTATCCTGTTGCAGCACTGTCAATACTCATCACTTTTTCTATCCTTCATAGCTTTTAGCATCTCTCATATAGTAAAGAATTTTATCATTCGACTTTCGTATCGATACTGTGTTTTTTAACCAATAACGTTCTCAGATCAATGAGCAAAACACACTTTGATATGTTTCATTACGCAAATTGAAGATGTCATGTGAATGTGGACAATAGTTCTCTTTCTTAAATCTGAGAGTCAGGTTCAATGATGATTCTGCACTTGAACTAGTATATAATAAATGATACTGAATGGTTGATTGATTGGTATATAATTTAACTAAGCCAAGCACTGGATGAATCATATTCTCAGAAGTAATTATTAAATGTGAAGGTAAACTATCTTTATAAAGGATTTGCTTTTTTAAGTTCAATTCTTCATGATCATTAATATCGAATAACTGTATTACTGTTGCACTAATTTGGTCACCAGACAAAGTGACTGACTGATTTTCAAAATCATAACTAATTTGGATTGTATCTGCACGATATTGGCATAGTGAACCGAAATAGGACTTTGGACATTGGCAGATGCAGGCATCAATCAAATTATAATGTTGATATTTGATTAAGTGTATTCCACCATTTTGACATGGATTTTGATCGATTTTGATCTGACATGATCGATCAATAAAACAACGTGAACCATATGAATTCATTGAACATATGCACAATGGCTTCTGTCCATAATGATCATATTGCGGACGGCACAAAGACGTAGGAGAACAATAGTTGCTACAATAAGTTATTGTTTCATAGGAAGAGGAAGAAATAAAACATAAGCACAATATA